ATTGGTTGGTTAACATAATCACAATCCAAAATCCCTATTTACTAGTTATCTTTCAGCTTGGTATGGCTACTTATGGATAATAAGATCTAAGAGGAAATCTGCTAGTGAGATTTCTTAAAAAACTTTGGTTTTCTGCTCTAAAACAGGGGGAGCAGACTCTTTTGGCATTTGCCCTTATACTTTGCTCCTCTGTGATGGACAGCTGATGCCTGCAGTTGCAGTAGCCATCTTGGACCATTAGGTAACAAAAATAGGATGAATATAAACCCACTAAAAATGGCAGAGCCAAAAATCTCCAGCAGGCATCTTCAAAGGTATTGTTGAGGCCCTACACCATCCCTTCACTGTCCACTTCTAGATTTTTTCTTTTTCTTTTTTTAATTATCTTAATTTTTAAATAGAAATTCAGTGATAGTTAAGTCCATTCATATTTGTCTGCAACCATCATCACCACAGATCTCCAGAACTCTTTTCATCTAGCAAAATTGAAACTCTATACCCATTAAACAGTAACTCCCCATTTCCCCCTTCCCCATCCCCTGGAAACCACCATTTTCCTTTCAGTCCCTATGATTTTGAGTATTCTAAGTACCTCAAATTAGTGCAACCATACAGTACCTTACTGTATGTATATACCACATTTTGTTTGGGTTGTTTTCACGTTTTATCTATTATGAACATGTTGCTGTGAACATGGGAGTACAAATATCTCTTTGAGATCCTGTTTTCAATTCATTTGATATATATCCAGAAATGTAATTGGTGGTTAATATGGTAATTTTGTCTTTAATTTTTGAGAAAATGCCAGACTACTTTCCACAGCAGCTGTACCATTTTACATTCTCAACAACAGTGCATAAGGGTTCCAATTGTTCCACATCCTCAGCAACACATTATTTTCTTTTTTTTGTTTTTGTTTGTTCTGGTTTTTTGTTGGTATGTTTTTTATAAAAGCTACTCTACTAGCTGTGAGGTGGTACCTCATTGTGGTTTTGATTTCCATTTCCTTAATGTGTAGTGATGCTGAGTATCTTTTAATATGTTTACTGGCCATTTGCGTATCTTCTTTGGAAAAATGTCTGTTGAAATCTTTTGCCCGTTTTTAAATCAGTTTGTTTGCTATTGTTAAGTTTTAAGAGTTCTATATATATTTTGGATATTAATCACTTAATGAGTATATGATTTGACAATATTTTCTCCCATTTGGTGAGCTGCCTTTTAATTCTATGTTTTTAATGCTCCATTTTTTAAAAAATTTCATGAAGTCCAATTCATACAATTTTTTTCTTTTGTTGCCTATGCCTCTTGGATCATATTCACAAAATCAGTTCCAATCTTTATTGAATGGTTATGGTCACTATCTTGAAAACAATTTGATCAAAAAAGTGAGCGTTTATTTTTGGATTCTCTATTATATGACATTGGTCTGTATTTCTGTCTTTATGCCAGTACCACCCTCTGATTACTGTAGCTCTGTAGTAAGTTTGAAATTAGGAAGCATGAGTTCTCCGGCTTTTTATTATTTATTTATTTATTTATGGCTATTTGATGTCCTTTGAGATTCTACATAAATTTTAAGATGAATTTTTCTATTTCTGCAAAAATTATCACTGGGATTTTAATAGGAATTGCATTAAATCAGCAGATTGATTGGGGAAGTATTGCCATTTTAATAATAATATAAGTATTCCAATCTATAAACATGGGGTGTCTTTCAATTTACTTAAGTTTTGTTTAATTTCTTTCCAAAATGTTTTGTAGTTTCACTATGCAAGTCTTTGATCTCCTCGGGTACATTAATTCCTGATTATTTTATTCTTTTTGGTGCTATTGTAAATGTAATTGTTTTCTTAATTTTCTTTTTGGCTTGCTCATTTTCAGTGTATATAAATGCAAATGATTTTGTATGTTGATTTTGTATCCTGATACTTTGCATAACTTATTAGTCCTAACATTTGTGTGTGTGTGTGTGTGTGTGTGTGCGCATGTGTAAGGAATCTATAGGGTTCTCTTTATATAAGATCATATCATCTCTAAACAGAGATAATTTTTCTTCTTCCTTTCCAGATTGGATGCCTTTTATTCCTTTTTCTTAATTAATTGCTCTGGGTAGCACATCTGGTACTATTTTGAATAGAAGTGGTAAGTAAAAGCAGGCACCATTGTCTTGCTCTGCATGAGAAAAAAATATTAAAATCTAAAAAAATATTATTTTATCTGTACTCATGATAGATAAGGAAATAAATATTTATAATAATAACATATAGATTTTTCAACTCTAATTGATAAAGTAAATTTAACAAAGGAAAAATATATTACAGTCAAACCATATTTCCTTAATATTGTCTACAAAAAATTAACAATGACTAATGTAATAGAATGTGAGCTGTCTTCCCCCCATCCTTATTTTGGGGTGGGGGAGAAGGCAGTTTTTCATGACAAAATTTTTAAGTTCATCCTGGCAATTTCTTTCACATAAATTGCTGGTAATTATTTTGATTTAACTAAATTTCATCCATCTGTGGTCTGTGTTTATTAAATATGTCTTGAAACCAATAATTATTATGGTTAAACTGTTAATTTTATCATAATTATATGAAGGACATAAGTTTAAATGTTTACATAAAAAAGTGCTATCAAGATGTGAGAATATTATTTTTATATAATCACTTTTTTCTTCCAAAACTTACTGTATATGGCCACATGTAAATGTATCCCTAAATTATATAAATCATAAAATTAACTGAAGAAACATTTGTTTGTTTGAAATCTAAGTGTTTAGTTCTCTACTGATATCCCAATACAAACTTTAGAACATAAAACAAAATTTAATCAAATACATTAAAATTTTAAAGCCGAATGAGACCTGATTGATTATAAGAATGAGAAAATGGGGACCTAGAAATGCTAAATGACCTTGCCAAGGAGAATTAACATGTACAAGTAAATTGCTGAAAAATACCCTAAAGAAAACATAACCACTAATTTTAACCCAGAAACTATTTTGTTTTTGAGTGGGCAAAACTATAATTAGTAGATTGTGACTACGCCAGACATCTAAATATACTATTTATTTTCCACCTGTTCTATTGTCTAAGAAATTTTGTTTTTAAAGACAGACTTAAAATGTTTAGCTAATACTATTGCCATTAGTTTTTGGTTTATAATGTGACATATTTCAAAGCTATGCATTATCCTTCCTTGTTTTTTTCTATCCTAATGGTTGACCTGAATGCTCCTTTTTAATTCCACTTCACTCTAATTATACTTCTTATTCTATGCTAAATAATTCCTCCTCCACCCCCTTAGAATATTTCTCCTCAATTTATAGCCTAGCCAAGTTTCCCATTAAACTTTCATCGTAAGTCAAGTTCTTAAATTACTTCTTCTAGAGACAGACTCTCATTGACTTCTTTACATCCATCCAGCACAGGCACACTATAATAATCAAGGGCATTGAATATATAAAAATTAAACTTAGGTTTTTATTTTTCTTCATTTTTCTATTATCTAAGTAGTTTCTAATAGCCTCATTATTTTATAAAACTGGTCTGTATATTTCATTCTCTACATACATTCTTTACCCAATGTCTGAAAATGCCACATAGCTTATTATGGACAGATTGCAATTACCAAATTGAACTATTTCTATCTATTGGTCTCATTTTTAATTAAGATGATAAAACTATTCAAGTATCAATATTATGCATTTATCATAGTAAAATTTTCTCAGAAATCCCTTTAAAATAAGTGTGAGGATTACATTATCATATTTCCTTAGTCTGTACATTATACAAAGAAGTCTTTTCAAGTATACTGGAGATATGTTGCTATTTACATTGAGTGAGCCTTGCTTTTATGTCTATACTGGGTTTAAAATTATTTCAGTAGCATTGAATTGGCACATAAGCACTCAACTAAAGGAAAAAATGAAACAAAACTAACTCATGGCATAGGAATGGTGGAAAAACAATTACTACCAATTATTATATTACAATAGGATGGTGGTGGTTACGAACAGGATAGTTCAAAGAATACAGAGAAATGATTTTAAAACACTTCAGAGTGAATTTTTTTTTTTTTTTTTTTTTGAGATAGAGTCTCACTATGTTGCCCAGGCTAGAGTGCCATGGCATCATCTTAGCTCACAGCAACCTCAAACTCCTGGGCTCAAGGGATCCTCCTGCCTCAGCCTCCCGAGTAGCTGGGACTACAGGCATGCGCCACCATGCCCGGCTAGTTTTTTCTATATATTTTTAGTTGTCCAATTAATTTCTTTCTATCTTTAGTAGAGACGGGGTCTCGCTCTTGCTCAGGCTGGTTTCGAACTCCTGAGCTCAAACAATCCGCCCGCCTCAGCCTCCCAGAGAGCTAGGATTACTGGCGTGAGCCACCGCGCCAGGCCCAGAATGACTAACTTTTTAAAATCGAATTTTAGGTCCAGAGGAGATAGAATTTATCTTCTCTAGAATTATGAAACTATTTAAACTACTTAGATTACAAAGGATGACTCAGGATTCTGAGTGCTACTTACAAAAACCTGTGGAATCAATCAAAGCTATTTCCTAAGTGCTTAAGGATATTTATTTAAAAATCCATCTTCTATCCCATACGCTCACAAAAGTGACACCAAGTGAGACTGGTTCCAACATAGTAAAACTGCCAGAAGGCATTTTATAGTGCTGTGCAGATGATAGACACAATGGGATACTTGTTAGAATAAAATAGATTTCATTTTCCCTATAAATTGGGTAAGAACGCTGATCACAAGTATGTGTTCTGTCAAGGCAAAGGTTGCAACACATTAACAGATTCACAGCATAGGTGCATTTCTAAAAGAGCCCATTGAAGAAAAGAGCACCTTTCCCAGTAATTATAAGTTGCTCCAGGTGAAAAAAATTAATTCATGTCCATAATAAATTGTTTAAGAGTCCAAGACTATAAGACCCTCTGTTTCAGTAATGCTATTTTCAAAACCCTTTCCCAGGGAGCATACTCACCCCATCTGGCCTGCCATCTGAAGCCGTGATGATCAGAATGTAGCGGTCGGTGCTTTCCCTGTCCAGTGCTTTCCCTAAGGTTAGAATCCCAGTACTAATGAGGGAGAAGACAAACAAACAAAAAAGACAAAAGAGATATGTCACAAGGAGAGTCTTCTTAGTGAACTGTTTTGGTAGTTTTTTTTGTTTTTGTTTTTTTTTTCTTTCAGTAATCATAGCTTCAGTATTTAAAATGTATGATACTAAGATTCATATCAAAAATTTAAAAAAGACTTGTAAGGCTGTCAATTTCTTAGCCATAATGATGAATTGCAAAACTGAGATAACTGAGTTGATTCTCTAGTCTCCAGGAAAAAACAAAACAAAACAAAACAAAACAAAACAGTGCTTAATTCATTCCAGGAAGAACAATATCTATCTTATTTGTGATTAATTCAAAGGTAAGATTTGTTATTCTTTAGCAGTCTCATAATCCTTTGAGACAGGAATAGTTTCTTACAACTAATGTATACCATCTTCCAATTCATGTCATATAGATGTCCATGATGAAAATAAAAAAACATCTAAATTCCATTTTTGGCCAGATGCTGTGGCTCACGCCTGTAATCCTAGCACTCTGGGAGGCTGAGTCGGAAGGATCGCTTGAGCCCAGCACTGAGTTCCAGACTAGCCTGAGCAAGAGCGAGACCACATCTCCACTGAAAATAGAAAAATTTTAGAAAAATTAGCCAGGCGTGGTGGCATGCACCTGTGGTCCCAGCTACTCGGGAGGCTGAGGCAAGAGAATTGCTTGAGCCCAGGAGTTGGACGTTGCAGTGAGCTACCAAGATGCCACTGGACTCTA